CCCTGTCCCCACCCCCACAGTACATTCTTTCTTTTTCCCATAACAGAACCATTCCGAAGCCTTCTGCCTAATTAGACTCCCTCTATGACCCCTCATGATGATAGGGTTATCAGGGGACACAGATATATCATCTCTCCGTAATATAAGCTGTTTATTCTTATTTAATCCCTTATGATTATTTATTCATGTTTATCCTTTTATGTTTTTCTTGGCATCTGTGTATATACTTTAGTGTCTGTATGCACATTTGGTCTTTTCATCAGGAATGCTTGGAAAACCTTTACTTTGTTAAAAGTTTGTTTTTTCCCTTGTAGAATTATACCAAGTTTAGCTGGGTAAGTTGTTCTTGGTTGTAAGTCTACATCCTTTACCTTCTGTAATATCACATTCCAAGTTCTCTGTTCCTTTATAGTGGTAGCTGCTGAGTATTATATGATCTTGACTGTGGCTCCTCGGAACTTGAATTCTTTCTTTCTGTCTACTTGCAGTATTTTTTCTTTGACCTAGAAGTTCTGGATTTTGCCTGTAATGTTCCTGTGAGTTTTCATTTTGGATTTCTCTCTGGAGGTAACCAGTGTATGCTTTCTATTTCTGTTTTGTCTTCTGGTTCTTAGAGATCAAGGTAGTTTTATGATTTCTTAAATATGTCTAGACTCCTTTTTTTTGAACATAGTGTTTAGATAGTCCAGTGATTCTTAAATTATTTCTCCTCAATCTTTTTCAGTTCAGCTGTTTTTGCTATGAGAAAACTTCACTTGGTTGTCCATTTTAATTTTTTAGGGACTTTGTTGCTTGGGCAAGGTTTTATACTTTTTGGGCCATCCTGTTAATTCCCTTTTCAATTCTCTTTTCCCCGTAGCACTTAGTTCTTCTCCCTTTAGTGTTCTCGTTTTTTTGTTGTTGTTGTTGTTTTGTTTTGTTTGTTTTGGTTTGTTTTGGTTTGTTTTGGTTTTTTTAGGCAATTGGGGTTAAATGACTTGCCCAGGATCACACGGCTACTAAGTGTCAAGTGTTTGGTCTGAGGCCGGATTTGAACTCAGGTCCTCCTGATTCCAGGGCTGGTGCTCTTTCCACTACTCTACCTAGCTGCCCCTCATTTGGTTTTTAAAGTAATTTTTTAGCTCTTTTTTTTTTTAACTCCTCCAAGAATTCCCATTGGATTTGTGGAGTATATTTTTCTTTGAGTCTTTGCTTGTAGGGGTTTTGGAATCATTCTCTTCTTTGTGTTTGTGTCTTGAACATCTCTGACATCATTAATAGCGCTTTATGGGAGGAATCTTTTTTGTTTGCTCATTCTTCCACCTTGCTTCCTGACTTTGAACTTTGTGTTGGACCTAAAAATCTGTATGTATTCTGGGAAGAATATCTGACTTGAGCTTTTGTCCTCTTGAGTGGTTCTGCTGCTTTCTTGAGGTTTTGAGTATTATGTTATATCAAAATCTCAGTGACAACGCACGCTAAAAACCTGCAGATTTTCAGTGTTCACATAGCTGTGTGATCTGGAGCAAAGTCTGATCACTCCACCACTGTTAGGCAGCTAGAAAACTCTGCAGGTTCAGAGTGACAGAAGTGCAAGTTTATTTTGGCCTCCTTTATGTTCCTTACACACAACAGTCCATCTCCCAGTTCCGTTTTCATGGCCTGTCCCCATGCCTGGAACCATCTTCCACAGCTCTCCCTTCCAGCTTACATGGCTTTCTTCAGATCTCAGCTAAAGATTCAGCTTCTACAAAAAGCCTTTCCCAGGCTTCCTTAATCTTAGTGCTGTCTGCCTGAAATTGCCTCCAGTTTATATTGTGTCTATCTTATTCATACATATTAAACTGTGAGCTTCTTGAGAGCAGGAACTATCTTTTGCATTTTTTTATATCTCCAGCCTTTAACCCAGTTTCTGGCACATAGCAGTTGCTTAATAAATGCTAGTTGATTGACTAACTGACCTGCGGCAGAATCTTGTTTTTTATGGGATTAAACTGAACAGTGGGAAGGTACATAAAGTGGGAGAAGGGTGAGGAAGAGAATTGGTGGGAATGTATGATATATCCTTATCAAGTCAATGGTAAGCAATGAAGAGAAAATAACTCTTTTAATCTCTTAGGAAGAAAAGGAAAAGCAGTGAGGTGACAGAGAGATATTGAAATAAGGTAAAGAAGTTGGGAGATCTTGATTGACCAGCAGCAGAGGGTCCCATTAAATAATACTTTCATGGGAAGAGAGAAATATTCTATAATGAGACATGAGGATCTTAGGAATCTAAAGCAATAGTTCCCAAATATTTTTGTTCCTTGAGCCCCTCTCAATGAAAACCTGTTGGAAACTCCTAGGGTAATTTCATATGCTATTCAAAATATTATTTTAGATTTATGCATTAAGCACTTAAAATAACTACAATGAAAACTTTTGCCCCCAAAAGCTCCAAATTAAGTTTTACATAATTCAGTTATAATTATCAAATCTTTTTATTCGACCTACAATTATGAAAATTATAAATATAAAGTGAATTTTAATATAATTATAATTTTATCAGACATACTGTAAGAATGAAAAGAAATAATCCAGCAAGACCTCATATGCTTATTACTATCTACAGAACTTCATTACATTACTTTATTTTACAAATTTTTTAAAATATAAATAACATTTAATAAAAATAAGTTCTAATAAGTTACATTGAAAAATGTTTAACCTAATAATCTTATATAAACTTAATTTCAATGTTGGACATTTTCATTGAACATAGGTTTGCATTATTTGGCTCACCACCAGAAAAACAAGTTTTAAATCTTCTCTATCTAGTTTATTTCTGTTTTTTTATTCAAAATAATAATAAAGTGAAACTGCTTGTTCACACAGATACATGGTAGAATTAGTAGGAGGATTTCACAAACTTTTGTGCTGAGAGATGGAAATTCATTTTTTATTTTTAGCTTCCTAACCAATCAAAAAATAGCTAGTTAAAATGCAAAATATTTACTTTTCTACTGGCTAATGACAAGCACTATATTAAATGTTAAATGTACTCAAAGTTTATTTACATATATTCCTTCATTTTTTAAAAAATTCATTTATAAACTAACCCTTGCAAGGAAATAATCTCATTAGACATGACTTATCTTCTGTTATTGGCACTGGCTACCTTCTGAGGGAACTTAGTGAACAACTGTCCAACAGTGTTGCCAACCAGTTCATTTGAAAATTCCCTAGATCAAAGAATAGTAACGTAATTGGAGGATAAGTATAAATTGGAAAACAGCCTTAATATTGCAGTGAGAGATGATACAGAGTTTGTTTCTGCAGAACTTTAGTGATGGCTTATAATGTGCATGCTACAAGAATGCTAATGTTCCTAACATCTTGATTAAGTGATTATACAGCTGGTGAGGTATTACTATAGGGTAACAGAAGTGGAACAAGGGAGCTACTGTGGTGGAATGTACAGAATGCAAATGAGGGTATGCACATGCATTTGACCATCTGTTGGGCATGGGTTTGTAATCAAATGTTGAATCCTTATAACAATTTGGAAACAATTTGACAATGGATTGAGAAACTGCAAGAATACATTGAGCTTTGTCAGAAGTGACAAATGATATAATGAAATTATATCATTTGATATAATTGCTGTATGAACTCCAGAATCATTGTCCACATGACATGATGGTTTCAAATTGCTGCAGAAAAAGTCCTAGGGTGTTTCAAATATCCATGTGCTTGTCACAGGGGGGAAATATATTTATAATATTTATTGCATAAGATATCATTAAAAAATTTTAGCACATATCCTTTAGATCATTGTTGTGAACCCAAACCACTGATCTATAGGGATTTGGTGCTCAAAGAGACCACTACCTTTGAGAGAGGATTAAAAGTCCATGGACAGCATCGTGCCTTACGAAAAGGGGAATTATAGCTACCAGGAGCACCTGACACACAAAAGTATGGGAAGGCATGCACCTAAAGAGGATATTTCAGAGCAAAAAGGAGGGAAATGATCATGAGGAGGAAGGGGGTAATAATGAGCTATTTAATCAGGAACACAGCAAAGTTTCTACCTTGGGCAATACTTTTATCCTGTCTATCTCTGGAAGGAATTGATACTTTTAGGAGTGAGGAGGACAAGATATATAAGACAATAACATCAGACTGAAAGGGACCTTAGATGCCATCGAGTTCAACTCTCATTTTACAGATGAAAAAACTAAGACTGAAAAAGATTAAATGACTTGCCCAGGTCACATGGCTAGCAAGTATCTGTGGCAAGATTCAAACTCGGGTCTTCCTGACTCCAAGCCTAGCATTCTGTTACCTATCTCCCCTAAATGTTGAAAGGGGCAGATAAACCAGAAATCTCTTTATATGAATCAGTTACTCAATTTACAAGCATTTATTAAGCATCCACTACATGCCAGACAGTATGCTAGATATCAGGGTTACAGATTTTAAAAATGAAACAATCCCTACTCTCAAAGAACTTACATTCTTATGAAGGGAACAACAGGTAACATATGTTAGTATATACCAAATAATTATAAATGAGTTAGTGGGACTGTTCCTTTCCAAGTAAGTGTTTTGTTGGGCTTTTGTTTGTTTTTTTACAAAAGAGAAAATGAGGAAGCAGTTTGATAGTTCCAAGGAAATATTCTCTCTTTATTTAGATTACTTTTTGGTATTTAATGATTTTTTTAATCTGGATTTTTTTTTTTTTACTGGACAATATTTTATCATAGCACTAAGGTCATCTTCGCACTGAGGAATATCTAGATTTGAATAGAACACAATTTTTGACTTTTATGTTAATGGTTGCTTTCAGTATTTCTCTGTCACATTCATTCATCAGATATTTATTAAGCATCTAATAAAATTCTAAGAAATTAATTATGGTGGTTTGGTAAGTAACTAGTGATAATCTATCAGAATTCTGTTTTGTAAATTTATTAGAATGTATCTGTATTATTTATCACTGGCATAATTCTAATGTGGGTTTGTTTTTTTTTTTAAAGGTATTACTATGATGGAGACATGATCTGTAAAGTACAAGGCAAAAGGTTTGTGTACAAGTTTGTTTGTGATTTGAAGACTCTTATTGGATACAGTGCAGCAGAGTTGAACCGTTTGGTTACTGAGTGTGAACAAAAGAAACTTGCAAAAATGCAGCTCCATGGTATTGCACAACCAGTCACAGCAGTTACATTAGCTACTGCTTCTCTGCAAACAGAAAAAGATAATTGAGCCCAGGACCTTATAGAAGCATGAGGCCTTTTTGAATAGTTAAAAAAAGCATTGCTCTTTGTTACAGAATCTGAAGCTTCTTTTATTCGTAGACAGTACAATCTGATGCATGATTTTTTTACAGAGATTTCAGACTATTGTGAATTTGGATCTTTTTACTTTGAGCATATATTTCAGTGTATGCATATGTATGTGTTAAGGGATTAACACTATGTCTTCAGTGTGAAGGCTGTCCCGTTGTGGTTGGTAGTTGGATATCTTTCAGGAAAGCCGGATCTGGTCAGTATTAATTAAAAAAAAAATTCATAGTAGCATCTAAAGAAGAAAAGTAAATGAAGCATCTACAGCAAACAGTCTAGGTTATTCTTTAATAATTTTGGAAAATGTGACTGTTTCCCCTCTCTGCTGTCGTAGATGTTACTTTAATTAAAACTACAGAATGGGATTTCCACCACTAGTGCATGTATGCCTGTTAGTTTCATCTAATCAAACAACTGAAATAAGAGATGTTATAAAGAAGTCGAATAAATTACTAAACTTGCTATATCAAGTCATTATGGCAATTTTTGTATTTGCAAGGAAAGTACAGTAAGAAAGTGACTAGCAGAAGATCAATGCTGAAGAAAGAGATCCAGGTTTAAATCTGGCTTAAGTCAAGCCAATTATATGGATTCATTGTATTATGTATAGAATAAAATACATACATGAGACCAAGAATTTAAATTATTTTGAGAGATGTAAATTCTAATAGACCAGCTATTAACAGAAATCTTAATGATCTGTTTTTCCTGTCAGAAGTTTAAAAGCCTGAAAAGGTATACCTCAACCAGAAAATAGTTTTGTGTTTTATTACCCTACGGTGCTGGTTATATTACGCAGGGCAGCTTATATATTCATTATGTTTTTTTACCTGGATGAAATGAAGACTTCAAATCAGTCAGTAGTTCCTTACCATACAGGAAAATAATATTTTACTTGCACATATACTTATGAAAAGCTGGGAATTTGGCTTCCAGACTTTTGGACAGTCTAATATTTTTTAAAATGGAAATAGGCTTTCATTTATGCTTCCTTTTCAATATCTTAAAATATTCTCATACCCTTTCCTCCATGTAAATAACCATTTTCCTACCATAAATTAACTCTGGACAGAAATATCTCATTATTCTTTAAGAACGTTCCTTGAATTCAGAACTGAGAAACTGGTAAATATCTCTTCAGCTGTCCATGATAGTGAGTTGGCATCTCAGACATGACCCTTGATGCCCTACATCATTCTCAAACCTACTCCTATCCCTTTCCAAGGCAGTAACTTAGTAATGAAAGATCTGTAAATGTTATTGACTGTTAATTGGGTAGAAGAGATCAAGATTCATAGGGAAGGTCATTTTCTTAACAGCTGATCCTGGAAACAGGGAAGAAGTATCTTAAATATTTTACACCCTCTATCTTCTTCCCTAATAGTTTCCACTACAGGTTAAGAAATGCCTTACTCTAATAATCTAGCTTTTTTAAAAAAATTAATATCTTAATATCTTTTTTAATGCCTACAATACTTTATGTAGTTGAAGTCTAAGAACAGTAAAACTCTTTAATTTCTATTTTATGTGTTAGTTTGTTAATGCAAGTGGTATACCAACATTTGTCATTTAAGTTATATAGTTACAAGGCTTTTCTCTCAAAGATAAAAGGAGTAGTATGCATTTATAAGTAACAGCATAGCTTCAATTAACCACTAAAAGTTCAAAGACAGTAATACTCCCCCTTTTGTCACAGAAAAAAATACATTACTTATGATTTTTTAATTGCTAAAGAATTGTCTGGGGAAAGGGAGAAACTTCTCTATCGGATCCCATCTCTGACTAAAATACATGTGTTTGTTGGCTTGGGGAGAAGGGTTGAATCCACTTTATTTTTGTCCATCTAGGAACCACAGTGATCCAGTCTTTTTTTTTTTTTTCCCAGTGTTCCCCAGAAGCATATTTTCCCCATAGAATTTCATCTGTTTCTCTCCATTGTTAGCCACCTTATTTGCCTTATCCACCAATGATATCAGAAATATCAGCCAAGAAAATTTCAGGCTAATGTGGGCTGCTACAGCTTTGTCCTAAAGTACATATTTTTGAAGCTAATGAATATTCAGTTAAAGGCTTATTAGGCAGTTTTGTTTTCAAATGTCCCTCCATATGTAGCAGTTTACATCTGTAGCTAACTTGCCTGTAACTGTTTCAAAGATCTGGAAAATCATGTGTTACATGTTAAATTAGAGGTGGGTTATCCTAAAGAGAGTTGTTTCCTGTAGTTTAAACTCCACACTGAAATTCAGTTTCTTACCAAACCAAGTATATCATCAGTAAATTAGAAGTAATTCAGATTAACACTTGCATTTATTGACTACACAATTATCTGAAACCCCTCTATTATTGAACAAGTATAATTTTCTTTGAAAGTTTGTTTCATTTATTTTTGGTAAGGTCTGCTGTTTTTCTACATTTGTGATTTATGCACTCCTTCCCTTTAAAAAGGGCTAGTGCAACTTTCAAATAGCACAAAACTGTTTTCAAATTTGTCATACTTGCAAATCTTTGATTAGCTAGGTCATCAGACCTGGAGGGTATACAGATATTAAGACATCAGTGATACTGTTCTGTTGCTACCAGGAAAAAAAAATTACCCATCTTTTGTAAAGGGAAGCAGGATTTTTTGAATATGTTTTTACTCTTTAAATAAAGACACTTATACTGTCATAGTAACAATTATGTATTCGTGTTTTTTTAGTAATTTTAAATAAACAATTCTTTTCTATTTTTACTCAGATATAAAAATATTTGTGCATAAAATGTCAAAATCATAAAATAAGAAGAATAAAACTGTTGAACAATAAATGTCTTTGATGTTCGAGGGTTTTTTTTTCCTAAATACAGTAGTAGTCTCATATTCCTAAAAGTGAGTAAGAGGTTGAAAATATCACATTCCTGTATCATATCTCAACAATTAGCACTTGAAACTCGTACACCAATACAAGAAAGCATAATTTCGTTGGTATAGGAACTACTTCCACTAACAGATAGAAAACCTATGATTTACTGGCCAATTTCTAGGAAATTACCTAAGCAGCATAGAAATGAAATAAGTTGCCCACAGTCGCATGTATTAGTTACGTATAGACTTACTAGTAGTCTTGAGAAGCAAAATTTTTACCCAGGTCTTCATCCCTCCAATTCTAGCAGTCTATCTGGTCTGCCCTATGTAGTAGCCTCAAACCTTATGTTAAACAATAAATAGAATCAGTGTCTCAGAACTAATGTGGAAAAAATAGTTTTTTTCTATAAAACCAAATTAAAAGGCTACTCTTTTTCTATGAATGTAAAGGGTTATACTTTAGTATTTTGTTGGGTTTTTGGTTTGTTTTTTTAAATAATCCTAGACAATGCTTGCTTCAGATATAATGGTGATAATGGTACACAATAAAATGTTTTTAAATCTTAAGTTTAAGCCTTCAAGTTAATTGGTATAGAATTAGAATCAGCAAAATGCTTAGAATTGCACTAAAATTCAGATGAATCCCTGGTTGAACACTTTGGTAAAGCTTTTTATATACCCTTAACTGGAACTAGATCACATTTCAACTTTTGTTTCTGATTTTTTTGATTGAGAAAAGGAAATGACTTTAAATGTGCTTACTTTCTATCCAAATGAAACAGGTAGTACAACAGAATCTTTGATTGTATTTAGAGTCGTAGAACCTAGTTTTTAATTCAGTTTAACCTCTCTGGGACTCCATTTCCTTACCTGTGATGGGCTTCGACTAGTTGACCCCCAAGGTCCTTTGTAACTCTACAGTTGTCCTATGAATTGTTGCCTTGTTTTAATTATGACTGACTTTCACACAGTGCTAACTCTGGAGACAATTTAGTCCAACTCTGTCTCAGATGAGCAAAACTGAAGAGGTTAAAAGATTTTGCACACAGTAGTAAAGCTAAATTGATAAGCCCTGTCTCCTAATTCCCAGTACCTTCTTATTTCTTTGTCCAGCACACTTTTTCAAAGCTGGTTTAGCTGTCAGTAGTAAGATTAGGAAAGTGTTGAGGTATTTTCATCCATCACAATTTGTATCTAAGACTTTTAATTTGCTTCTTGATTGTGTAAAAGTACTGGTTTTGTCCTCACTGTACCTACAATGTAGGTTAATTTATAAATAGGGCATGTGTTTAAACATGATTATACCAATAGTAAAGCTTGTCTGGCTTAAACAAAGAGCCCTTTGGAATATTTTTAGCATTAATGAGTAAATTTAGATTTCAACTCATGTTAGAAGAAATGAAATGTTAATATTGGCATCTAAAGATTGTGTAAAGATATGAGTAGATAGCATTTCCATTTACTGAGGATATAAAGAAATATTTAACAGATCTGTTCTCAAGTAGCTTCTGTTTGGAGCAAGAGTAGAACAGATATAAGTAAACACAAAGGAATTAGGGAAGTTAGCATAAGGACTAGTAGCTGGAGGAATCTGAAAAGACTGTGTGTGTGTGTGTGTGTGTGTGTGTGTGTGTGTGTGTGTGTGTGTATGTGATTAGCACTTAAGCTGAACTTTCAAGGGAGATAAGGATTCTAAGGTAGAAGTGAGGAGAGTGCATTTTGGGCCATCAGGGACAACCTGGGCAAAGTCCTGGACATGGGATTGTGTGTACAGAACAGTAAGTAGGTTACTTTGGGAAATTGAGCACGTAAAGAGAAGTAATAAACCTAGAAAAATAGGGTGGTGCCAGTTAGTGAAGGGCTTTAGATACCAATCAAAGGCATTTTATCTTTTATCCTAGACTATAGCAGTCACTGGAGTTTAAGCAGAAAGGAATGGCATGGTCAAACTTAAGCTTCAGGAATATCATTTTGGCACCTACGTGGAGGATATTGGAAAAATACTAGTGACTTTGACAGAAATAGGAAAGTTAGGGGGAGGAGTGCATTTTGGAGGAATGGTGACTTCTGTTTTAGACATTGAATTTGAAATACCTATGAGAAAGCCAAGTAGAGATACCAAGTAGGTGTAGGTCTGGAATTCAGGAGAGGGATGAGAGGAGGATGTCTACATTTGGGGGGAGTCATAGGGATGATAATTAACCCACAGCATTTGTTGAATCCTGGGATACACCAATACATGAGGCTGAGACATGGATGATGAGCCTGCAAAAGAGACAGGAGAAAATAGAAAACTAGGAGACAGCAATGTGTCATGAAAATAAAGAGAGGAGAAAATATTGAGGAAGACAAGGTGATCATCATTATTAAATACTGCAGAGAGACCAAGAAAGATGGGGACTGGTAAAAAGGACATTAAATTTGTTTTTTTTCATTCTCTCTCTTTTTCTCTGTATGCTCTATGTGTGTGTGTGTGTTGTGTGTGTGTACACACACAACACACATACATATACATACACAAATATTTGTAGATTTCTTTACAAATATGTACATATGGAGATAAAAAAATCACATCAAATATGTGTTTATATGTTATACATATATACAAATTCAGTTATCTCAAAATGCTGTGTAAGAGCAGTATTTCTAGCCTTTATACTTTCAAGCACACAATATCACATTCTGCTCCCCCAACACAAAAACATGTACACAAACACACAAACTTTCAAGGAATTATGCCTCTAGTATATGATACCATGTACTTTAATAAAAACCAATTAACTGGTACTTAAGCCAGAATTGTACATTAATTTGTTACCAAAAAGCCCTAACCACTTCTCTCCCGAAAGATTTCAGTGGTTCATGATTGATAATTTTGAAGACTTTTCCATACAAATTTGGATGTATGGATTTTTTTTCATGAATGAAATGTAAGAACTGTATATCTGATTATACCCCTGCAAATAGGATATTTTCTTAGAAAAGGAGCACATTCTTTGCATACTACTAGATGACCACAAGGAATAAATACAATAGAAACTTCTTAATCATACAAACTTTACATGTTCTTACTTCTGTAATCTCCTAAACTATTTTTCTATAGGAAGACCTGAAATATCTTTTTGAATGTGCTTTATGTTCCTTTCCACAAACAAATTCTCATATAATACAGAATTAATTCTTTGAGAAAAATTTTAAATACATTGGCTACAACATTTTAAATATATTACATATATTAAATATATTGGCTTACATATATTTGACTAAATATAATACATGTATTAGCTACAATATATTTGCCTAAAAAGGTATCAATCAGTTCTCTTGCTTGTGGGAATATCTGTATTTTTTGTTTAATAACACTATGTTCCTGCTCATTAATCACACCTGATGTTAAGAGACTATCCAGAGTAGGAAGTAGACAAGACAAATGCTGAAACAGCCATTCTGTTCTTCCAAATTAATATTAGGTCATCTGATGCCATTTGTTCAATTTGTCTCCTTCCTTTTTTCATCTTCTGCATTAAGGACACCCTCATTGATTTCTGTGTTGACACAACCTCATTGGCCATTTTATAATCTTAACATTAAGATTTTATCTGAACAGTCTCTTACTAGACTTCTAATCTCTGGAGTTTTCATCATGACTGCATCTTCTGAATTATTTTCTCTAGGTCCAAAATGAATAATTGGTAGATCAGCAGTTTTGTCTCCTGGAGCATCTGAAGTTGACAAAGAGATTTGGGCACCTAGCTTGAACTTCATTAACAAACTCTTGTCCTTTCATTCATATCAAGTACTCACACCTTGGGAACTATTTGGTATATTCCACCCAAGGACCATTTCTTAATTTCCAATATCTCAGTCTGCCATCACAGCAAAAGCATTTGACGTCATTTTGACCCACATAATAAAAACCAGTACTTGCAAGCTGCTCTGAATGAACTGGAATCTGAGATGTTCACATCACAGATGTTTAAACATGGCTGAGCTGCATGGGTTTGCATGCTCAGATTATGAACACTGAATTTTGATGTTTCTTGGATTTCATTTTCCAGAAAAGGACAGGAAAATGTCTCCTATGTTGTGACATGGCATCATCTTTTGGTCCCCAATTACTCAGTTTTCCACCGCAGGCAAAACTAGCTACTGTACATCCAGGTCCTGTGTAGCAAAGCCATCTATTGATAAATCCAATAGTAGCAAATGATGTTAACAGCCACTCTGGTAAGTCTTCAGTACTCATTGAATGATGATAAGGGCTGGCGTTTAAAGGAGCACAATTTCTCAGCTGCTCTGGAAGACACTGGTTCCAATGAAAAACTGGAATAAGAATCACTGAATATCCACATTGAAGAACATATAAGCTGAGAAGATCCCAAATTGTCAACTGAAGTAAGATTCTGAATAAAGGCAGAGCTAGTATGCAGTTTTTTTTTATGTTAATAGCACTGTCACTTTGTTTCCAATTATCCAGCATTAAGCCACAACAGAAACATTTAACTCAGTCATTCTATATAATATAATGTATTATATATCTAATATAATAAAATATAATAATATATTATATATCTAATATAATAAAATCCAGTCCAAGTAAGACTCCTTTCTGAAACTGGAAACTGGGAAACTAGAACATGTAGACATTCTGTAGAGTTAACATGACAAATCATATTTCCTTACTTGTGCATCACTTTTCATCAAATGTGGTTATAGCACACCATCCTCTACCACATTCATAATTTAGTACTTTGGGAATACAATGGGACATCTTTCTCTAGGAGGTAGTTTTGTGTGGGGTTTTGTAATATTGTGTATTTAGCTT